AAGCTTTGATATCATCAATGTATTACTGTTTAAATAACGCATAGTCAAAAGAAAAATAGAGATGCCTCGTTGATATAACATTCGTACAGAATCTTCACTAACCATTGTGACAGTGACATACGTTAGTTACAAAGCCAGCAGATATTTACATTTAATTTCTTTTTTTTTTCTTCTTTTTTTTAAAATTAAGATGTGTCGTTGAATGGACGTGTAGAAATAAACCTATTGGCTTTGATAACTAATTTACAGAAATCAAGGATACAACAACAGGACCCAGGTATGGCGGTTGATGAATTGTATTCATTTTCGATTTTATATATATACCAAATATATATATATATATAATTATATATACATTTTTTTGTGCAAATGAATTATTATTGCTGAAGAACTCAAAACGCTCCGACGTGTGTTAAGGTCAAGTCTAGGTCTTTGTGACCTCGACTAGGATATAATAAGTGAGATCATTGAATAGGGCATCGCCATCTGTTAGAATATTAACTCTGGCTTCAGTGTTTGACCTGTCAAACACCCACCAGTAAGTGGGACACCAATCGAGCTGGTGTTCTAATGTTTAAGTGACCGGGCCGTGTCGGTGTGAAGGATGTCGATGAGCAGCCTGCCAAGTGGTGTTTCCGCACGCCCCCCCCCCCTGTTGATCAACAGTGATGCAAAAGATGTCATTAGGTCATCTCGACATTTGTCAATATATATATTATGTGCTGTCCATGAAAAAGACAGAATAGACAGAAATATTTATATTTGCTAGAGGGCATGGGAAGCGTCACCAAGGCCTTCTTTTCCACGGGTCATTCGGGCATCGGCATTTCTGGCCGGGTTCTTTAGCTTCATTCATGTGTCAATTCTACACTATTTCGTGGCACCAGATATAGGCAGAACATTTGTTTAACTGGAGTATGCGTTCAATTATGTCACATTATCCACGACAATTTAATGTTTTATTCAGAATCGGGACATATTAAACGCACGTAGGAACGTTTCATTTTCTTTCTGTCTGTGTAATTATTTTTTTTTAAATTCTAAAGATTTAGAGAAGAAAGGGAGTTAAATTTACACAATTCCTATTAAGTACAATACTCTTCTGTCACATTCATACTTTTACTAACTCCAAAAGAAACGAAAATATTTAAAGCCATTAAAAATAAATAAATAAATATATATATTAGATATAAAATCAATTAATTTACACTGGAAGTTAAAAATACTCATTAGAGACTGGGAATAACAAAGTTGCCAAAGATGCAATTAATTAATTTACTTACCACTAGCAGCGGTAACAATGAGTAGTAAGATGGCTGCCAGGGGCGCCATATTCGCTGATTACGTTATCTCTAATGTTGACTCACATCAAGTTCACATAGGTTTCAACGCTAAGCTAGGACACAAGAGACATGTCTTGAACTGAGCTCGTGTCTTCAGTACTTATGATAAAATCATGTGCTTCATCTATGTTTAAACCCTTACATTACAAACGGAGGGATTCTCAATCTTTTAACGTCATCGACATTTAGTAGCATACAAATCGTTTTTTTAATGACCATAAAAATCTAGATTTGGAGATATCAAAATACTAATCTTCAGAAATGAGTCTTGTTTGTTTTTTTTTGTTGCATACGAAAATGTTTTTAGCATTTAAAACGAGTAATCAGGTTACTAATGGTCGTTAAATATACCGTCCTTTTGCAAAAAGGGATCTTTGATTATTTGTGCTCTCTAAAATCAATTTATCGGTGTGAGAGAAAAGGGGGGGGGGGTATTTTTTTTTTTTTAAACCAAACACTCCATTCTGAAAAATTCGAATTTAAAACTGTGAAATCGTGTTAAATATATCGTTCTTTTGTAAAAAGGGATTTTTGATTATTTTTGCTCTCTAAAATCAATTTATCGGTGTGAGAGAAAAGGGGGGGGGGTATTTTTTTTTTTTAAACCAAACACTCCATTCTGAAAAATTCGAATTTAAAACCGTGAAATCGGTGAAATAAGTGGTCAAAAAAAAGTTTGTCGTAGCGTCAAATATTTTACTTACGTGCCGTAGTATTTGCTGTCAGGTTTTTTAATATTTTTTTTTTTTTAATTCTGCTTTTCGAGGGGATCTCTGGAGTGTTCAAAAATGTTTAAATTGTTCCAATAAATCTGTGATTATTTTTCTTTTTAAATTGCTTTATTAAGATGACAACTCAAAAACGGAAAAATGTCGTCTTAGCGATTTTAAATAGTAATTTACGATGCAGACAACGTTGGGCAAAAAAATAAATGCGATTAAGATTTGTGTATTCTGATTGGGACGCAGGAATTATTTATCACATTAACCGTGGGGTTTGTCAACCTTATTTTAATTTTTTTTAAACGTGTGTGCGTTTTTTTTGTTTTGTTTTTTGTTTTGTTGGTTTTTTTAAAAATTCATTTACTCTTCTTTTCGGTTTCTTGCTTAGGTTTCTTGTTTGTTAATAGCATTGGACATTTTATTGTTGCAAAGGACGTCAGCATGTCAATAAATTTCATTCCTGGAGCTAAAAAACATACACTTGATTTAGAAATCATATACGTCATAGTGAAACCTCGTCCATTTTCAAAAAGTCCCTTAAAACTCATCTGTTTAGGTCCGCCTATGACCTGTGATGCACACTCCTTGCCCTACCTAATTTTCTGTTTCGGTTTAATCCTGAAGTGTCAAAGTGTCCTCTTTTTATAGCCATTTTCATTGTTTCTATAGAATAGTAGTTACTATCCTAGTGTCTCATTTGTATTGACTTAGTTTACATGTTTTAATAAGTGTAAAGCGCTTAGAGCTTTATGATAAGCGCTATATAAAAATGCCTAAATAAATAAATAAATAAATGGTACAAATATTTGTTTTTCATAAAAAAAATTAAAAACCGCTACGGCTGTTTAAATTAGTAATGACCTTGTATGATAGCATATTAGCTATTAAATTCCATGTAGTAACAGAAAAAAAAAACATTAAAAATTATGAAATATTAAAAGAAAAAAAAACTAAAAGGAAGGAATAAAAATTAAATAATTTTATAATAGTAATATTTTGAATAATCCAAATATAGCTAGAATGTGTTTTCAGTGCAGTGGTTATTATGTGCATTTGCCTTATAGTATTATTGCTTGTTTAAAGTAAGCATTCTGATAACAAAATCTAAACCAATAACATTTCAACTCAAGACATTTTAAGCAAATAAAATAATTATCCTGCCATCTAAATTTTATCCACATCACCAGTATTTTAGATGATTAAACGAGCCCTTAAAATATGTGTTGATATAAAGTAATTCTTTGACTTGCAGGTGGTCTCTAGATATGAAATTCCATAATTTGTTATTCATGTATGCATTATCTAGACCAAAATGTTTATACATTTTATTATTTTAAAATCTTTGTTTAATATTAAGATGATATTGTTAAATACTAAATGAAGATTTTTAATATTTAGCACACGAAAAGGAGAAACAAATCACTGTATTTGTCATGATTGTGTTGTTCACTGTTATCGTTCTTCAATAAAAAAAAATCTTCTCATGTCATGATCCCAATGTCAATTTCTTTAGATGGTTGTACATTACAACTAACTATTGTCTTTTTTTGAATGAAATCTGTTTTGCAGTTAAATATTTTATTAGGTCAAGCTGCTAAGTCGCTTTTGTTTTCTTTTTTGTTTCCACAAGAAACATCAGCGGTCTTTTTTCAGAAGGAATGGAAACTATATTTATTTTTTGTTTAGCTATGGCAGTGTCAGACTTTTAAAATGATATAATCCTGTTTAGTATACAACTGTTGACCAAACCGCACAAGCAGACAAGTTCATTAAAGCAGCAACTGAAATGCACGTCTTATAACATCGTGTTGTCTGTTTTAGTGCGGTATTAAAAATACAGACATATAGCAGATTTAACAAATAAACTAGTAGGTATTGTCCAGGGGTACTCTGAAATAGATCAATAAATAATATTGAGCCACTATTTATCTGCTACTGTGGAGTCGTGCCAGTGTAAGTTTGAATGTAATTAAAATTATTTTTTAACAAATTAAAAAAATAGTTTTTTTTATTTTATTTATAAGGTTTATAGAGAAATGAATTACAAAAGTACATAGTATTAAGCGTTTTCTTCGTACTGGGACGATCTTGCAATCTAAAAAGCTTGGATCCAAAATAAAGTTTCGTAATCGATATCACAGAAATATCACGCATGCTTTAACAACATCCATCGATACACATATAAACTTTCATCCTAATGATTGTTAATTTTAAATATTCAACATTGTAAGACACATACATTCACAAATGAATAAACACAAACGCAGTTATGAAAATGTGTTAAAGACATTAATTCACACTTTACGCCTGAGTTGAGTCGTGACTCTGGTAAGAAAGACAAGATAGAGAGGGGGAGGGATGGAAGGGGAATTTCCCTACGTGAGAATTTCTGATAAAATATAACAATAATAATAATAATAAGACGTCTTATATAGCACGGTACCCCAGTTTAGGGCTGGGCTCATCACGCTGTACATAAAAATTTTATCAAAAGAGACTTAATCATGACATTAAAATAAAATACATTTATGAAATAAAGAACTGATTTTTTTAATTTAAAAAAAAATGATATCAGGCGCTTAATTTCATAACGATGTTCTCTATCAATGAAGTTACCAATGAGGGTATGATCTGAAAACTCCTAAATACATCACGGCTGGCTGTGAGATCGACAGCTTTGGTAAAGAAGGAAATGATACGATTTTACGGATACTACTTTACACCAACAATAGTATATACGTGTATGAATCAAATTGCACACACACACACACACACATATATATATATATATATATATATATATATATATATATATATATATATATATATATATACACACACACACATATATATATATATATATATATATATATATATATATATATATATATATATATATATATACGAGTACTTGTTATACAGATTTTACTATTATGTGTTAATATAAAATTTAAGTTGAAAAAAAATAAATATATGACGTTTTCAAATTCTTTATTTAATATCTTAAAATCAATATTTTTCCTCAACGGAAAGAAGAAATAAACCAAAAAATGTTGATTCCTGCCTAAATTCCACAATTCCCAGAGTAGACAAGCACACCTGCAGGGTATCTCCAGCTCCGAGGTGAAAAACTCCTCCTATGTGGAGTTTAAATTTAAAATAATAAGAAAAATGCTAAAGATATAAAAACCTTTGTTAAAAGATATAAAAACAATAGTGCTAGTATGTATCAAATAATAGCATCAAGTATATAAACATAATTCTATTTAAAATGGGATGAAGTTTGTTTTACATTAACGTTTTCCAAACGTGCCAAACTCAAAAGTAGCACGAAATGAAGAACCATAATTAATATTTAAGAAATAGTTTAAATAGCGTTGAATTCTTTGGAGTAAATTAAAAGTAATAGTATTTTATTTTACAAAAATTCGGATTAATTTTTTTGTGTAATTAATCAAATATCCTTGATCTTAATCATTTATTTTAATTGCATGTCTGATTATGTAATCTGGATTATTTTGACCCATTTCAATCTATTACAAAAGAATCGTTTAATAAAATTGATGAAAAGTTTCCCCCTTCTTCAGAGAGGTTGGGTCTCTCTGATTAACTTTTATTTATACTATTTATGAATTTATATATATATATAAACTAAAAAAGTAAATTATTTCTTAATATAAGAACGACGACCAATTAGTAGGCAAAGTTACGAACCAGTGTAGGAACTATGCTGTCCTTGTGAACACAACAGGTCACATGTGTAAATGGCTTTCAGAATCTGGCCTGAGTGCTTGGGGTGGTTGAGTCTTTCCTTGTGAACGGACATGTACCACAACTAGGAAATGAAATGGTTGATGGAAATGTTTATCACAGATATTTTTGTTATACACGTGGCGGCTTGGAACGTAGCATTGTGCCGACGTAACAAAACCCACAATGCCGTAAGAGGGGATAGGGGGGGGGGGTGTGCGAGGTAGGAAAGGAAGAGCCTGCAATAGCCTTAAAAGGATACTTTTACTTAAATAATGATTTTTCACAATGAATCGAAAGAAAATCGTTAAACTTCACACTAACAGAATAATGACAAAAAAAAAAAAAAAAAATAAAATAAAATTAAAAAATAAAAACCAAATAGATTTTCAGGACGGCGTGATTGCTAAATTTTTACTCTCCCCCCCCCCTCCCCGCCCCCCCCCCCCACCAAAAAAAAAATTTCTAAATTAAACAAAAGTAAAAAATTGCCAGGTAAAGATATCACCAATAATTTTTTTTTTCAAAAAGTATTGGAGCAATTCGCACTTACAAACACCAAATACATTTCGGTAAAGACAATCTTGAGGGCTTAGCTATTTTCTATGAACCTTTAGCAAATACTAAAGAATTACGTAGAGAATAGGAATCCAGAGAAAAAGAGAAAAAAAAGCCTCAGTCAGCATGACATGAAGCATACCCTGAGACGTAACACAAAACAAAATATAAAAAAATCAAGATGTAATCAAATATTAACAGCCAAAAGTGATGGAAATATGTTTTAAAATGGAAAGAAATCATTTAAAACCTATAACAGAAGCTGCTACAAATCGATAAATACATATTTGATTTTTTATTTGGATCTTATAATATTTATATAATTAATTAAGCAAATTTAATCAATTAATTTTAATTAAAAGTGTTTACGTTTTTTTATATTTTGTACGATAAATTAAGATGTAATAATCATACATTTAAGTTAACCATTACATTTTGTTTACTAAACATAGAACATATCATGGAATCTACCTTGTTATGATGGTCTGTTCTGGACTCAGCTCTGCTTGGTCGAAAATGGACACTACTGTATATGTAGTAAAAACCTTGAATGGATATTTTGGTATTAATATACTTTACAGGTAAATGTGTTTGTTCAATGAAAACTATCAAAGCATATAATGGAATACTGTATACACTGTTACATATCAATACATCTTACTATCAAATATTAGAGCACAGGCCTGGAGTCTTTTTTTTTTTTAACTTAACGTTGGGAATCACTTTAAAATTTAACCTCGGAGTATCGGGGACGAAGGAGTCAGACAATGTCTGTGGAAATAAAAATTAATCATAAAGATACACAGCTTGAAAAAGAGACCATCTGTTTGTGACGTCATCTCAGCTAAATCATCGTAAATGGGTAACCAGCGCCAACACTTACTCAGCATTGAATTTTGTCAAGTTTTTTTAAATTTTATTTTAACAAAATTTCTCAAGTCTTTCTATCTAGCATTCACTGTATGTCTCTCTCTCTCTCTCTCTCTCTCTCTCTCTCTCTCTCTCTCAATCTCTTCCACTTTCTCCATTTCTATCTCTATTTCTCCTACTCCCTTTTTTTTCATTGCGTGTCTACCAAATTTTCCTCTCTCTCTCCACTACGCTTTTCATTTCCTCTTTGTCTTATTCCCTCGCCCCCCTCTCCCTCTTTATACCTATATATGAAATCGTTCTAACTTTCCTCAAATGGGCAAACCCCAGAAAAATATTCGAAAATCTAAATCACAGTAACAAGACAGGCCTTTCAACTCTTTGTTTTCTATTACGAATTCGAATAATAATAATTCGTCCAATGAATGTTAGAAAAAAAAGTGTTATATTTTGTTGTTGTTCTGATAAAAGGAAGCAAACAGTAATAACCCCCCCCCCCCCATTCGCTACTTGTATCAAATTGAATAGATCTCTCAGACATGTGATTGGTTGTAAAGTGATGTGACATTAATAACCTGTCGACGCACAGAACTAACCGTTTAACCAAGCCATACTAAATATTAAAAGTGCTTTGCTGGTTTGACTTAGCATATCAGGGCGGATTTTTTTGGTAGAAATTACACCCCCCTAAAGATGGCAATAATTCATATGAAGTGTACTTATATTCCAAACCCCAATAATGTAATTGACTTGAAATTTGGCATTTAATGTATTCTTTTGAAATAATGGAATTCGTGTTACACCCTTTTAAACCTTCATAAAACTTTGTCAATGAATATTACAATTGGAGTGTGTGTGCAGGACCCCACATGTATAGTTAAATTATGAACTCAGCATTCAAATTATACTTCAAAGGGTTTTAACAAACGAACAAATATTTCCTTTTTTTTTAAACGACCTTGTGTTATATCAATACACACACGAGTTACGTGAGTGAATCCACGGGAAATTGAAAAAAAACAACAATTCTGTAATCTTTGAAATTGTGTGAAGCCATTAAAAGCTTGGCTGTTGAAAAAAAAAGGGGGAAGGGGGCACTTGGGTTCCATCAGTAGTGGCCATCTTCAGAGTCTGTAAACATCGGCATTGTTACACCAAATAAGTGCATTCACATACTTCCATTCTTGGCTATGACATGGCAATGATACCCAAATAATACTTATATCGAGATTTACACCTTGCCTGTTGCTTCCAGTACCTGAATAGACGATTTTAATTCTATCTTCAAATATCTCAACTCCGTGGACCTGCTCCGTTCGGTTGTCATGATCCTTCGTGTTAAAAGTGACGATTCGATGATTGTTATCAATCAAGTTGGGGTCTGTGAAAGAATAAGACACAGAAATATTTACTACTAAAAAAAAAATGTGTGGTAGGGGAAAATCTAGACGAACTATTAGTATCATGTAAGTGTTATTTTGAAAAGCTTCATTCGTTTTTTTTTGTTTAAAAAATATATATGAAACAAAAAAAATTTCGTTCCTAATTAGAACTTTCATTTTCCTTGGGTCTAACTCTAAAAAGTTAATAAAATAGAAATAAACATTGATTATAGACTGCGTGTCGACCTGCTTTTTGTTCCGAGAAGAGCATTTGCTTGCTAATTTACCTCACCTATGGTTTTTGATGTCAACAATTAACTCTGTCACTTCTTTACCGGACCGTTACTAGGAGGGTCAAGAGCATACAGAACCGACTTAGAAGTACTCCATGGCGATTGCATTATTTGTACACATTATGTTCTGTAGGGTTATAATTCCCTTAAAAAAAACATACTTATGCCGATTGTGTTCAGGAGAATTACGAGAGTAACCACACGAGAGTGTTACAATATTTTTCACTGAGAGTTTTCTGGATTTTTTAAATTATTTTTTTTTTACATTATAATTGCACTTTTCGCACTAGCTACTGCAATAATTGATGTAATTTTTTTTTTAATTGTGTATATAAATTTAAATAAATAGGTATATCTCTTTAATAATATTATTCAACTGAAAAATACTAATGGCACTAGTATCGACATCCTGTTTGTCATTCCTATTTAACGAATTCTTCATATAACGATCCGAATATTGACCTCCCAGCGGTCGCAAGCTCTTCTCGCAATGACACCAGGCCCTGTATATTAATTTGATATCACTGATCAATTTGTGGTTAAAATAGTTTATTTGAAATAAATCTCGTAAAACAGTTGTTTTTTTTTTATAATATTTTTTTGGGGGGTAAAATAGTTAACCAACATACAATATAAAATTCATTCCAATATGTATTATTTTGAACATCCTCTATGTCCTTGAGATTCTTTAATAAAAAAAAGAATTTCCTACCGCACGCCATGTTTCACAGCAAAATTAAAGACGTACATAAGGATCAGTATAAATGTCTCGGTTCGGGGAAAAATATATCAGTATGATTTTTACTATTTAATTATAAGATAATTTAACAGTATGTATATTAATATGAAAAATTTTCTTACTAGAAAAATACAATCTTACAATCGTCCAATTTTAAAAAGTAGCCTGCAAAGGGGCGATGTATCAATTTGAACAAAACGGACAAAACCTAGACTCTGAAGGCGTTCTCTACACATTAAAAAAGGCAGCAAATAAAAAAAAATGAAAACAGTTTTCAATTGATAAGTAGAGCTCTCTGTCATCTCTCATTAAACATGTGCGAAACAACAAAAAAAAACGGTCGACATGTATCAATCTGATCAAGCGCACCCGATGGAAGGTTTAAAGAGATTAACTTTAAAAAAACGTATAACGGTACGGAAGACATTTATGAGAACACATGCAGTATGAAGGTAGTCGAGAAATGACACAAAGAGCATATTCAGGGCACACAGGAATGTGGTGGTAGCATATGTATGATTAAGATTATTTGTTCTTTACTCTTTTGGACATTATTTTTTTTTTTTACCAAAGAGTACACTTCTTCTTCTTCTTCTTCTATATCTTAAGGGCCCACGATCAATTTATTGATCATTTTGGCTCCTATGCATGTAGATGGGATTTGCAATGTTTCTGTTACTGGTGTTGATGAGGAAATCATGCACTAGGGGTTTGAATTAGTGTTGTCGCCTCAACCGTTCCTTTTGAAAGATTGTTCCAGTCCCTGATTGTCTTGGGCAGGAATGAGCAGCTCCTATACTGGCTTCTTGCTGGTATGAGCCTGAATTGCCTGTCATGGCCTCGTCGCTGTCTATGGGGGAACTTAAGCAGATAGTTTGTTGAACAAGACTCACCGTGAGTGTCAATGATTTTTGAAGGCGGCAGGACAAACTTGTGCATCGTCACTGGACTAAAGTGGTGACGTGGTGCAGTATATTCGCCTGTGATAAAGTTAAACGACTTTTTGCAATTAAATTTTAAAAAAAAAATCATGTTTTTGTTTCCATTAAAACTAACAAAATGGTCAAAGTGATACTATTATTTATTTGTTTTTAAGATTTTTCAAGAGCTTCTTTCTATTTGACAGAGAAAAAGAATGTTTTACTATCTCTGGTGGATAGCGCTGCCGGAAATGTTATAGAAAAACATATATTGTTACTCTAAAAAAAGAAATGTTGTATCTTTGTTGTACCAGAAGTTTTTTTTTTCAAAATGAAATTATAGAGGGGGGTCGGGAGGATTCAACAATTTTTATTTTGTAAATGTTTACATTTTCCCCATTCCTAACATCCGTCTAACAATTTAACTTTCGAACAAAGTTCTTTGGGTTTATAAATTCCCATCGAAAAAAAAGTCCGTAAAATGTATTTATTTTAAAAACATTTCCGGATTCCGGTAGATACATAGATGACGAGAAGCGCCTGCATTTTTACTTGAAAGAATTCTATGCTTAAAGTCACTTACTTTGGCGCTTGTCTTGATTGTCTTTCATCTGAAATATTTAACTTTTTTTTTTAAAGTTCTCATTTCCTGTCCTTAATTACGATCAAATTAGTCAGGACGATCACACTGTTAGCTAGGGGCGTAACGTACAGTAAAGTTTCTTAACTAAGCGATTCATGGGAATTCACAAGTGTGAATTAGTCATCAACACATCCTACAGTATCAGCAGTTGTTTTTATTTTCTTTAGATGTTCTTAAACATTAAACCAAAATATTTGTTAAACTTAGCTTAGGATAATTTGATTTTATTTATTAAAATTGACATGAGCGTTTTTGTTTGTTTGTTGTTTTTTTTTTGTTTTTTTTTGTATTTTAAATATTTACAATATTCATTTCACCAACACAGGTGCTGTTTTCATAATCCATGTAGGCTAAGCCAAACAGTGTTGTAGTCCCATGTCACTACAGATAAATATATAATAACACGTTTCCATCTATTCCTTATATATATAAATACATATATATATATAAATATAAATAAAACAAACATATATATGGATATATAATTAAATCGTTCAATTCAAAATGCATGTCTCGTTTCAAATAAACTGCCAATAAAGGCAAGGATAGATTGGGCTGCCAGGTGGACATAGCCTAATTGCATTATCATCATACGATTATACCAATTTCAAAATGAAAGAAATTGGATAGCATTTTACAGTAAATGATTTCTGAAAACGAATGTATGTTGTTTTTGAATAAATACGAGTCTAAGAGTAGAGCCGTGAAACATGTTCAAAACTGAAATTCATTCAGAGCATCGATGTTCTTCTATGTCTCGGAAAAGGCCTTTGCAGCTCGTATTACTTGTCTAATTACAAAACATACACATCAACGTGTAAGGTAACAATAATGTCAAGTCTTTAAATTTAAAATGAAATATAAAAAAAAACAAAAAAACATTGAGAATTCATTTACATTTTTTTTTTCACAATTGCAAGTTTAATATGCAATTAAAATATAACTATGAATATTATCAAATAGTATTGTAAACCTTATCATAAATCCGACACTCTATAGCTTAGGCTTCTAATTGTGTAAAATTTACGAGCCTTTTGTAAAAGAGACGCTATGTGACGAACCAAGATGTGTTCCAGGAAATGGGAACCGTTCTGCTGACAATCAAGACAAACCGTCTCATTGGACAACTGAAAAATGTAGTTATTTAATTTGTTTATAGGAGATTATTAAATTCAACGAAACGTTGGTGAAGATAACTATATAATTGCTGGTAGATTATTGAGATAATTGCTTACTGAAAGCGATAAAATATGTGCTTTAACACAAATTGTAATAGATGAGATTGACAAAAAAAAATTTAACAGAGACATCTGCGTCTAACGTAAAATGCTAAATTTGCTTTTCGTTGTTTTTGTACAGTTACAAATGTGACAACTACGGATGTGAAACGATTATTTAACTTGATTTAAATTGTTAAATTTATATAATATATATTATATAAATAATTTTAAAAGAATATATATATTTCTTTGTAATACTACAGAAAAGGCATTAATGTCTGTTACTTGTTCAGATCGGTACCACAACAGAGATGGGTAAATGACCACAACACATGTTCCCATCGTTAATCCCATTGATATAGATGATAATATAATAGGACACCTGCAAATCACATTGAAAACTTTTAGCGCAAGAAAACGAATCCAATAATAATTAAGTATAAATTAATAATATTAAAACACTTTTACTTTGAAAAAAAAATAATAATAATTCACAGAAATGTAATACTTTTCTTTTTTTAAAAAGGGTAAATACATTTTTACCATAAAATAATTGGAGCTAAATTATTTTATATATTTAAATAGATTAGTATTTGTCTTACAATGCACCGAAAACCAAGACAAAGAACTGTTTACTTTGATCGGAAAGCACTGTTTTTAGTCAAGCTACAACCTTGTAATAGCAAAACTTTGTGGGGTTGCGAAAGTTTAAAGAATCACGGCATCTCATGGTAGATTGAATTCCTGGCTGGTTTTATCGTTTCCATTTCTTAACACACAATCAAATGGTATGTGAACAATGCACCAGGGAGATAAGTGTTACACCATTCCTGTTACCAAAAAAACTGACTATTGGGTACAGTGTGGGATTGTATCAGAGTTAATTTGTTTGTTTGTTTTTTTAAACTTTTTCCCCCATAATAACGAGGAACCCGATTACGCTTAAACCTATAAAAATGCAATTGGTAATGTTCTATGAACGTGCGACATAAAGATTACGTTATGATTTAAATCCATACCAATTGATCCAATGAAAATCCAATGATTGATTGCTGGTCGTTTCCTCATCTATCGTCTCGTAAGTGTGTTCTGAGTTTAGATTCCTAGTCTTGTCCATTTCTATCGTCTCGTAAACATGTTCAGTGTAATCAACTTGTTCCGGTCTCGCGTACGTGTCCATTGTCTGGATGTCGATTTGTGCACTCTGAAATTCTTCTTTTTTATAAGAGATGACTTTTTTTTCCATCGATTTGGTACCGCAGCTTTGAGCTAAGACCGTCACAGCAAACCGTGAATAACTGTGGCAAAAACAGCTCAAAATGTATGTTGTATTTGTCAAAATGCTATCATTCTCTAAGCGTTCTAATTGACATCTGAATTGAAACTCTTAACTGCCATTCACTTAAAACAAAGTTGTTGTTTTTTTTAAAGGATGCAATCCATGGGAGGAGAGACATCATGATTAGCGCTGTGTTCATACCACTGAGTTGTTTTATTGTATAACGGATGTTTAAAGTAAGGGTATAAACTTTTTGTGAAGGTTTTAAGAAAATCATTAAGCGGGTTCATTTAATGTCCACCCTCCACCCTCTTTGTTGAAATGAATAGTCATCATGATTATAGTGTAAATATTTCTAAAAATAAAAATGCATACATGTTGTATAATATAAAGAAAAATCTACTTACATGACTCAGGCTTGCAATACAGAACAAAAAACGAGATGAGTTGTACCAACACAAAGAAGAAGTGATATGAACACATTAATAATGTTTAAACAGCGATGATTGGGGGGAAGTTAAACCGAAACATGGGAGGAGTTAGACCAGTAGAAAGTTGAATTTAAATAAACACACTGGTTAAATCAACAAATGTGACAATTGAGACAAACACGTGTGGAAAGTTAAATAAACTGACTGGGAAGTTGAACAAACTCATGGTTGAAGTTAAAACAACACATGGGCGAAATTAAGCTAAGGCATTGGTTAAGTTAAACCAACGCATGGGCGAACTTAACCTAAGACATTGGTGAAGTTGGACAAACACATGGTTAAATTTAAACATAAACATGGATGTTGGTAAGGCAACAGGTGGGATAAGTTCAATCAACACATGAATGAAGTAAAACTAACAATTGGGTGAAGTTAAGACAACTTGTTGATGGAATAATAAACCAACACCTACCAGGGGGAGTGGGGGGGGGGTTTAAAGCTTACACAGAAATAGGAGTGCACACAGCTTACAAGGATTGTCAAGCCCACGTAAAAGCTGATGTTTCCATTATACGTAGAAGGATTTAACTAAACCAGACAGAGCTAATGAAGCAATGGGACGCGTTGAATCAACCAAATGAGATCCGATGAGTTTAAAGCACGGCGTTCAGCAATAAACAAGAGAGAGGTTTCAAGTTGAGATCAAGGCTGTTGTAAGGCGAGGATGAGATAGTGATATTTATTTATTTAGGCATTTTTATATAGCGCTTATCATAAAGCTCTAAGCGCTTTACAATTATTAAAACATGTAAACTAAGTAAATTGTTTACTCTGTGATCCTATCATTGATGATAAGATATCTTTGAATGAAAATGGCTATAAAAAGAGGACACTTTGACACTTCAGGATTAAACCGAAACAGAAAATTAGGTAGGGCAAGGAGGGTGCATCACATGTCATAGGCGGACCTAAACAGATGAGTTTTAAGGGACTTTTTGAAAATGGACGAGGTTTCACTATGACGTATATGATTTCTAAATCAAGTGTATGTTTTTTAGCTCCAGGAATGAAATTTATTGACATGCTGACGTCCTTTGCAACAATAAAATGTCCAATGCTATTAACAAACAAGAAACCTAAGCAAGAAACCGAAAAGAAGAGTAAATGAATTTTTAAAAAACCAACAAAACAAAAAACAAAACAAAAAAAACGCACAAACGTTTAAAAAAAATTAAAATAAGGTTGACAAACCCCACGTGGATGAGAAGGATTTACGTTTTATCATCATTTAGCTTCAGTTTGTTGCAAGTCATCCAACGCTTTACATCGTCCACGCACTCCTGTATGCGAAGGATTGTGGCATCAAGTTGATCAGGAAAGCAAGAGTCACTGATTTGAGTGTCATCAGCAAAGGATTGACTGGAAACTGAAGTCGTCTGAGGTGCTCGTCGTGTGTCTCCTGTCCCAGCTGAAGCAACCGTCCAATGCTGTGACCCGCTGATTGGGTTGCTCCACCGAGCTTTACACCTCTGTTATTGTACACCTCTGTGGATATTCAACGCTGTTGCAGTACACCGCTGCTGACGTATCCTGCCATGATATGCCTGTGTGCCTTCTTAAAACTTTAAATGAAATAGCAAAACGAGGCACGTGGAAGCATGAATGAGAGAACAGGACAAAAAGATGAGGTCGTTTCGGCATAGAGCCTTCTTCGCCACACATGACAAATGAAGATATCGCAAAGAACAGAGCAAACCAGACCACTCAAGAAATATCCATTGTTTACCATGTCAACTCCTCAGTCTACTTGAATAGATTAGTTCGTCATACCTGGTTTTGTTATTTCATTTGCTAGGCTTAAATGCAGTCCTTTAATTATTAAAACATTAACTCAGTTTTAGCATCTGAACACACGTAATCAAATTTGAAAAAATCTCAGATTATTTTATTACCCTACGATATTCTTCCTTTCTTTGCTATATACAATTTTACAAAGATGTATGCTTAATTAATTTTTTAAAATAATTACGATTATTAAAAGTAGCAATGCAGTTTATTTTAACATCGATATTATCAAGTTTATTTCTTTTTGTTTTTTTTTTACAAGTTGTTATCAATCTTTTCCTGTTGAATGATATATTTTTTGTGTGGTCCAAATGGGCCAAAGTTATTTGAAAATCCCTGAAATACCCAATCCATTTAGCATAGCAGATGAAGTCAAATTTATTAAGGGCACACCTGTCTTGAACGGGTCTTATCTCAAATACACCCCGATCTGCCACTTGCCAGGATTTACGAGAGTGTATTACCCACCTCTTAGGCAGCCCAGTTAAGTTTGCTGAAACCAGACACCTGCATGGTTTGTTTGTTTTTTTTTCACTTGCGGCACACCGAAGGCCATTCCAAGAAATCCGCAGTACAACATGGTTTATAATGCTCAAATTTATAACAATAACGTGAATTGCCTTTTATTAACTGTATGAGCTGGACATATTTCTGTTGGTGCAGAGTTTAAGAGTTTGTCAACAGTGTCCACCTTTTTATAAGTATGTGTAAGACTTCGTTCTTTTCCTGATCTCGCGGTCCCCCAGTGTGCGGCACGGCACGCCAGTTGCTGTCTTCTGGATTAATCAAGTACATGACATTCTTATTTATATACTTTTTTTTTAATTAATAAAGAAATGAATGGACGTTTTGAAAAGGACAAACTAATCATAAAGATAAATATACGTAGAGATATTTTTTTCACATTGAACTATGTAATTTATCGTTCATATCAATCAATATTTTTCACATGCACATAAAAAGGCTTTAAAATAAAAAAAAAAAAAAATAAATTAAATTAAAATTTTACCCAGAGATTGAGAGCATGGAATGCTAAATGGAACAGAAAAAAGATCAATGCAAACAAACAACGACCAAAAATAGATAAATATACGTAGAGATATTTTTTTCACATTGAACTATGTAATTTATCGTTCATATCAATCAATATTTTTCACATGCACATAAAAAGGCTTTAAAATAAAAAAAAAAAAAATAAATTGAATTAAAATTTTACCCAGAGATTGAGAGCATGGAATGCTATATGGTACTGAAAAAAGATCAATGCCAACGAACAACGACCCAAAACAGCGTACACAATTTCAGCTAAATGGGATGTCGGGTTACCTGAGAAATATGGGAGAACAGAAGTTCGACCAGGATGAATGAACCAACCCAGTTAAGGATTATTATATAACTAGAGTCTAAACAAGTTCTAAAAGAAATGGGGGAACAAATTACTACCATCGTAGAAATGAATATTCAACTGAAAATACGCCCTGTTAAAGCTTACTTGAGCTATGTCTTTCTTTAGATATCAAACCTGTAAACTTGGATTATAGATGTAAATGAAACTAATAAAACCACGTTTTTCTCATTGTGACGTCAATGTCAAGTGTGTTTGACTTCGACAAGAAGATCAAAGTCGAAACTGAATGAGGAAATAACATATACTTGACAGTTTGCCTAAGAAATGAACCTGCAGAGTTTTGCTGGTTAAACAAGAAACAATCCTTATTCATCTTTAACTTGAAAGTCAGAGAGCGAAACACATGAAGATTGTGGGAATTTTTAATTACATTTATAAAATACTTTTTTCCAGCAAAATTGCAAAACCTTAAAAATAATTCCCTATTTTGACCTTGAAAAAAAAAGTAGTGATTATTTCGTTAAAGATTATCTGGTTTAGCATAATTTAGAGGAAGCTCAAAGAATATTTAGAAATATATATATATATATATATATATATATATATATATATATATATATATATATATTAAAAATCATAATACAATTTATTAAAAAGAAAATTTCTATGTTAAACAAACACCACAGAAAATAAAGTAAAAAAAAGTAGTGATTATTTCGTTAAAGATTATCTGGTTTAGCATAATTTAGAGAAAGATCAAAAAATATATAGAAATATATATATATATATATATATATATATATATATATATATATATTTATATATATATTAAAAATCATAATACAATTTATTAAGAAGAAAAGTTCTATGTTAAGCAAGCACCACCGAGAATAAAGTTTATAATGTCGAGTATCATCAGTGTGCTTAAAATCTGTCAGTGTGCAATGACAGCACTATAATATATTGAAGGGTACCGATAAAGCTGTGTTTCTTTAAGGCTGGGCATGCAACATGTTGGCTTCAGTTCAAACCCCAACGATAAATACGACCACTCGTCTACCACCGACGTTGTTCCTTCAGTCAATTTATTTATTTTTAGAATGGGCGTCAAATCATGCGGCTGATAAATGCAATCTGGAGACTCTCAGCGTTGGGGAAAATTTATTCTTAGAGCTAATTCAATTTTAAAAGTTTGCATACATTTATAGAGACACAATCTGATTTCAGTATTGATTTGCACAGATTAATGTCTGATATCAATACTGATTTTAACAATGTCCATTATCAGATCTAATTTGCATAGGCTATAGTAGCATAAATACAAGCGCTATACAAATATTCAATTCAATTTGCTGAGATAATATTTGTTATCAATAACTATTTGCACCGACAA